ATTATTAATAGAAAATATACAAAAAATTGTAATTTTTAACTTTTCTAAAAATTAAATTTTAGTCAATAAAATAAAGAGAAAATTTTTTTACTAATTAAACTACCACACTTTATGTAACAACTGAATTATTTATAGAAAATATATTAAAAAATCATAAATTTTTTCTTTTAAACAATTAAGTGTTTTCAGTCCGTTTTTATATATTTATAGTTTATTTAGTTTGATAAAAAAATTTATTATAAATAATTAAATTATTTAATTATTTTTTAATTTAATTAATTAAAATGAAGTCAACTTCGTTTCTCTTGATTCTCTTAAAATCAAATAAGTTATTAAATTATGTTTAATTTTAAAAAAATAAAAAGACAAGAGAGGAAAACGGTAAACTTTTTGAGCAAAAGCAAACAGTAAACTTAACTCACTTATTATTTTTTTATTTCTATCAAATTAAATATACTATTATAAAATAATTAATGACCAAAAAAAATGTATGAATCTTAAGCATACAACCAAGCTTAATTAATATATTTAAAAAAATTAATTTAAACCCAACGTCCATACAAAAACTTTGAACCTAAAATCTAATCTAAAAAATAATAATAAATAGATAAAAAATTTGATATTAAAATTTAAAATTAATAATGTGATATAAGTTAAATTATTTAAAATATTAAAAAAATAAAATTTATATTATTTAATAATTTATTTTTTTAAAATTTGTATAATGTTATATATATCAATTAATTTAATAATATAACATAAAGTATATTATTAATTCCAAAATTTTAACCCAAACTTTTACCCTCCCTATCTTTACCCAATTTAAAAGGTCTAGCTTATCCATTGAATCCACTATTTGGGTTATGAAAAAGATGGAAGCTTGATACAAAAAAAATGGAAAATAAAAAAACATTTGTTTGGAGAATTACTGATCCACGTAGGAATTACTCTGTCCTGTTTTTTTCTCCATTACTGCCGTCTGCCGCTGATCCTTGTGCTCTAAGATTTTCTCTCCTTGAAAGTGACAGAATTTCTCATCAATTGGCTAATTATTTTCTGTGTTGAAACATACTATCATATCACCAGAGACCCGAGAGACCGTAACGAGCTTCAAGGTCTGTTTAAGCAATCTTCGTTCATGAGGGGATTCCAGTTTTCTAAATCCAAGCTTCGAAGTTAGAAAAGTTTTGAGTCTTTGGTTGGTGAGGAAACATTTAAAGGTAACATTTTTTTTTTCGGTATTTTGGTATTGGATTTTCACTTTTGTAGCGATTAGATGTGATGCAGAATTTAGATTCTGGTTGTATATAGAGTCTCTTCTTGGCTTGGGGTTGATCAAACTTGTATTGGTTAAGTTGGGTTTTGAGGGTTTGCTTGTATTTGAAAGTATTGGGTTGAAGTATTCTTTTTGGGTTTCTGCGTGGTGCTTAAAATATCTAAACTATCCTCAAGTAATTGACTTATGGATTAAGAAAGTTGGGGACTTTAAGGGTAAGCTATATCAAGGGTTGATTGGTAGGCAAAAAATGTATTGCAATTTCAAGGAGTATGGTGTTGAGTATGTGAAGCAGGCAGTAAAGGAAGATGATGCTGGGAATTATAGCAGGGCATTTACTCTTTACATGAATGCATTGGAGTACTTCAGAACCCATTTGAAGTATGAGAAGAATCCAAAGATTAGGGAAGTCATGAAGGATAAGGTTGCTGAATACTTGAGGAGGGCAGAGGAGTTACGAGCAATTCTTGACAATGGGGGCACTGCACCAAACTTGAACGTTAATGTGGGTTCTAGTACACATGCACAGTCTAAGCCAAACAATGGAGGACAGAAAGACAAAGAAGATCCTGAGCAAGCAAAACTTAGAGCTGGACTTGATTCAGCAATAATTAGGGAGAAACCAAATGTCAGGTGGAGTGATGTTGCAGGGCTTGAGAGTGCCAAACAGGCATTGCAAGAGGCTGTTATATTGCCTGTTAAGTTCCCACAGTTTTTCACTGGTTAGTTTCTTTTTTTTGTTGGTGCTTGTCCATTGATTTTTCCGCTGCCTTTTTTTCTTTCCCTTTTATGTTTTAAATCAATTTGCTTCTGTACTTGGGAGAACTGAATATAGGTTTAGGTTTTATTAGGCCATTGGCATCATAATTTCTGGGAAAAAAAATTTTTCTTTTATCTGAATTCCTAATTATCAAACTGGTTGTCTGAGTTACAATACCTCTGAGGGTAAACATGTTAGATGACAAACACTTAAAAGCTGTTCTGCTAGAAGATGATACATAGATTAGATTGGCAAAAAAGTTAGGTAATTTTTCATAAAGAGAATATTTTGTCAACATATTTTTAATGTGTTACTTATTAGTTATTTCTTATTGGTGATATCAATTTATTCGATAGGGAAGAGACGGCCATGGAGAGCATTTTTGTTATATGGTCCACCTGGAACTGGGAAGTCTTACTTAGCTAAGGCAGTTGCAACAGAAGCAGACTCTACTTTCTTCAGGTGATGCATCCTACCATATAGTTGTGTGTTGCATCATACTTTCTTGATATGTTGAGATTTTATCATTTTAAGATTAAGCCAAGCAGTTTTTATGGTTTTCAATCAAGTGGTATAATAATATTTAAATTGATCTCATTCCAATACAACACCAATTATGTAAGGAAGAGTTATATTTATAAAATGGTAAAAGTGATTGTCTAGTTGCTAATCTAGTGTCATTAGGACAATACTGGATATAGAGTACCTCAACACTCTAACCTCCCATTCCATGGGGCATGTAGGTTAGTTCAGTTATTTTCCTTAATTATTCATATAGATGGGCATTTTTAAGACTTGAGGGTCCCGGATACTGTCTTTATGCAGTGTTTCTTCCTCAGACCTGATCTCAAAATGGATGGGTGAAAGTGAAAAGCTAGTTTCAAATCTTTTCCAGATGGCTCGTGATAATGCCCCGTCCATCATTTTCATTGATGAAATAGACTCACTTTGTGGTCATCGGGGTGAAGGAAATGAGACTGAAGCTTCTCGACGTATCAAAACAGAACTTCTTGTCCAGATGCAGGTATTGAGTTCATTAGATAAAATAGCACCCTCTGACTTCAACATATTAAAATTTGATTTCATTATTGAATCACTTTTATGTAGTTCATGATAAACAAGGGGCTGAATATTTGGTCTATATTTAAGTTCCATTATGTGATTTCACTGCAGTTGTACTTTTAGTTAATTTTAGATGCGAACTTCAGTTGGAGAAGTTATGGTGCCTTTAATGTGACTCCTTTTAATGATAAAGAAAATAAAATTTTGTTGAGATGAACTGGTGAAGTCATTGCATAAATCTCACTTGCATTAATTCTTTCTTTTCTCATCTATGAAAATGGAATTTTCATTTATGCATTTCAGGGTGTGGGAAATGATGATCAGAAAGTTCTTGTTCTTGCAGCCACAAATACACCTTATGCTTTGGATCCAGTGAGGAAAAAAATTCATTGGTTTTGCTTATAAGTTGTAACCTTAACTTAAGGCTGTCCAGTATGTCATTGCCTCATTTATTCTAATGCCACACAAATTGCAGGCTGTCCGGCGCCGCTTTGATAAGAGGATATACATTCCTCTACCTGATTTGAAGGCAAGGCAGCATATATTTAAGGTATTATATGCTTAGTTGATCTGCTTATTTGTGCTTTCTATGATTATTTATAGGACATCTTTATTGGGTTTTATAATTGAGCTGTGATCAGGTACATCTTGGAGACACTCCACACAACTTAACCGAAAGTGATTTTGAGCAATTAGCAAGAAAAACAGAAGGATTTTCAGGTTCAGACATTTCTGTTTGTGTAGGTATCAGGTTTTATTATTACCTTACTTCCAGTTGTATATATCAACAGTTAGCTTATTTACTGTTCTGAGTTTATAGGTTAAAGATGTGCTATTTGAACCTGTTCGAAAAGCCTGGGATGCTGAGTTTTTCATTAAGACATCAAATGACATGTGGATCCCTTGTGGACCAAATCAACGAGGAGCTGTCAAGACTACCATTGAGGAGCTTGATGCAAAAGGCCTTGCTTCAAAGGTATGAAGCTGATTTCACGTCTGGGAGTAATGCTATGTTTCATCACCAAGAAGCATTTTTTTCAAAATTAGCTTTTAATGGCCTTCCCTGTTCAAGAAATTCTGTAAATTGTTAAAAAGAATTTTCAAAAATAATATGTGAGACAATCATTTTCTTGTCTTAATTTGGTTATTTTGAAAGTGTTGTTTTTATTTAAAGTTAATAATCTTTCAGAATTTTTATGAGTACATTTTTCTTTATTGCCTTGGAATATAACCGAATGCATGAATTATTGATGCTGTAGATCCTCCCACCACCAATCACAAGAGCAGATTTTGACAAAGTGCTTGCTAGGCAGAAGCCAACTGTAAGTAAAGCTGACCTTGAAGTACACGAGAGATTCACAAAGGAGTTTGGAGAGGAGGGGTGATGCCCTCTTAACAAGTCTCGAGACGACTTGATTTATGAATTAGAAGTATAATGCAGGTAATACTGCATGTTTATATAGTGTGGATGGGTTCCATCGAGAAGGTTGGATAAAAGGAATGTGGCGTTATACACATATTAGTTTCTGCTCGTTTTAGCAGATTTCTTTTTGTTTTTTTGGCCATCATTTTATAAGCAGATTTACTGTTATCTCACATAGATGTCAGGTCTCAACGGTGAATCAATATAAATATTCTCAATCAATAGTGGTGTTGATGCTTATCAACCATTTTCTTTCCATTTTGCACTTCTCAGTTGTCACAACTGGGTAAAGAGACTCGCTTTGCTGTTTAGAAATAAAGATTTTTAGCACCACCAGGTTCGCAGGAACAACTAGATTATGCAGGAACATAGATGATTTGCATCTTGAGAATGACAGAGAAAGTAAGCAGGACTTGAGAATTTGGTTTTGCTAGCTACGGTGAGAAAATAAACTGGTTATAGGTACTATGAATCGATATTACAAGGCTGCAGAACTTGAATGACGAGTAATGGTGCTTTATACAGTAATTTATGGCACAAATTTGGTCGTAGTATTCCTTCTCTGCTCAGCAAAAGGGGCATATGTAGATGACTTTCCCTTCTTTTTTTCTCTTGCATTTGTTGGACCTCCTTTTTAGACTGATGTTCTGGGCTGATCGCTCCTGAATTTGTATGATTTACTCTTGGCAACATCAACAGTTATCATCCATCCATTAATGATCTGCACGAAACAATAACAAAGGTCAAACCTGCTCTACAGAAAAGCTTTGAGATTAAAAAGGGAAAATTCAGAGGCCCCTTGCTCACAAGTGTTTACCTTCCCGTTCATCTCCTCAAGTGCTGCACTAGCAGCCTCCTCCGTGGTGTATTCCACAAATGCATAACCTTTTGACCTTTTAGAAATCTTGTCCATTATGATTTTAACTGTTGAGATCAGCAGATTTTAGCAAACAAAATTCAGTTTCTTGTGCAAGGTATTGAAACACTTAACTATTTTAACATACAGACATAGAATACCTTCAACGAGCTCACCAAAACCTTCGAACGCTGCCCGTAGTGTTTTCTCAGATGTGTAAAATGATAGGCCTGTGTAGAAGTGACATACACAAGCACCTTAATGAACAAATACCAGAAACAAATACCATTATCCAAATACATGAAACAGAATGACATTAGATATTGAGTAGCAAGGTACCAGTTACAAAAAGTTTCTTTGTTCTTATGGGCGTCATGTCAATAGCTTTTGAAGACACTGGCTGATTAGTAGAACCCTGTAATTTATTACCTGGGAAACAGCATATTGTTAATCTGGAGATAGAGAGAGAGAGAGAGAAGGGCCATAATACTAACTGCAGGTCTTTCTTTCCATAGACTGCCAGAACTCAAACTATAGACTCCCAATATTTGTCCGTAGGAAAATTGCATAGCCTACACCTTAAATATGGAACAAAGACAAACCTGTATAATCCTTATTTTTTGAAGCAAAATTCCTATCTGGCTCAACAGATAAAACACCAGGCACACCTATACAAAAATGAAAACATCTATTCTCAAGCTCCAAGTGCAACATGCATTCAAAGTAATAAAAGGAAGTTCAAGAACATATACCAACCAGCTAATTCTTTTGCACATTCATCATCAAGTTCACAACAGAACCCAAAGTTGGATTGCCATGACACATGATATATGCACATTTGAGCATCCTTCTCACTGCAAAAAAAATTCATTTCCTATTAAGAATAAAGAAATTATACAATACAAAGAAGCAGATGGTTCTATCCTCAATCCAACACTCACTTCCCCAGAACCTTGGTCAGTATTTGAGCATAATAATCAACCATTTGTGCCTTGGTAACAACACCAACCCCCGGTTTGTCCATCAGAACCAGCCAATGTTTGGTATTTCCAGAAGGAAACAACGGCAAACCTCCTTTATAAATATAAGGGTCTGATACTTTTCTTGACTCAGTGCTTACAAAACTGTAATCCTTTTTGTTAGAGTTGTAATCCGGATCTTCCCTAACTGATAAAACCCCAGGTAAACCTACAACATATAGATGCAAAATAAGTAAAACCTGATTAACCAAAAAATCCTCTAAACTTATGAAACACAAACGACTCTCTTAACCAAAATTTCAAGCATCCATTTCAAAATCACTAGCAGCAAGCCCTCATCATACACAAACCATAAAAAACATCACTTTATTAAAGGCTATGTAACTAAATATAAAAATCACAAGGAAAAGAGAAGCAAACACTCACGGGCAAGCTCATGAGAAGCTGCTTCATCAACACTACAGCAAAAACCGAAATGGGTATCACAAGAAGCATTGTATATACACATCTGAGCATCCTTCTCACTGTTCAAACCAACAATTGAAGCAAATTTCAGAGGCAAAACCAAAAACAGAGTAAGGGACAAAGAACTGAAGCAAACTCACCTGCCCAAAACTTTCTCCAGAGTCCTGGCATAGTAGTTAATGATTTCTGGTTTCGAAACAACCCCTTCTGGAGGCTTATCCATGAGTACCTTCCAGTGGTTTCGCTCAGATACTCCAGAAGATGTGAAAGGTGAAGAATTTGAGGTTGAAGTTGAAGCTGATGTAGCACTGGCTTTTGTTAATGGAGAAATGGGAGAAATTAAAGAAGATACGGTTATAACGGAGGGGTTCTTTTGTGAAATGGGAAAACCGATAGGAACGGAAAATTGAATTGACGCTTTCCTGGAATTGATTGGGAATTTGTAAGTGGTGGTGGTGGTGGTGGCGGTGGCGGCTGAGGGACACAGAGCTTCCATTGCTGCCGGAGAAGGCGCTGCTTCTGCTTCTGCCTCTGGGATTTTTGTTCAGATGATGCCTTCGTAACAGTTTTTGCGAGGGAAGGACTGCGACCATGGGCCTCATCTCGGCCCAAAAATTATAAATCTTTCTCCGTTTTCTTGGGCCGTTGGGCTTCGGCGTTTTTTCAGTTGGATTAATTTTTGTTTATTTTTAAATTATTATTTTGATATTCATAATTCAGTTCATTTCTGTTACCATGGCATATTTTAATTTCATTTCATAGGGAACATTATTTTTGGATTCATTTTGGATGAAATTGCATCTGCTAAAATATAATGAACTTATAATAATTTTTTTATACAAATGATGATATATTGTATGATAGATATTGCACTCTTTTTTTTTAAATTTCACTTATAATTTAGGACCATCAACACGAAAATTTAAATTTTTTAAAGTTGAAATTCTTTAACCTTAAGATATATTTAAAAATATCTTGCATTATAAGATCAAAATCCAAATACACATAACGATTACAACTTCTCAAGGAAAACAAAATCATTTTTAAGAGACTAATTACAACATTTCTTGATATTAAGATAAAAGTGGTGATTCAATATCTTCTGGTTTCTCTTGGGTCGAGTTTTCTTCTTGCTTCAGTAAGCACGCACAGAACAAAGACACCATCTAACCACACAAAAACCATAATGTTCACAATAAGTTTAGAATCATGTCTACTTTCTAATATCTAATGTTAGAATTTGATGTGCCAAGTTTTGATGTGATCTGTTAATATCTAGAGAGAAAGCTTACCATGCATACAGATGCAACTACAATGCTGAAACCTTTGCAGTTGAAAGGGGCATTGCTAGAAAGGAACAAAGCTGGAATGAACATTCAAGTTGTGAGCAACTCTGATTAAAAATTTGCTTTTAACATCAAGACAGATTGAAGTAATTAAGAACACAGTTGACTCACATGTCAATGGACTCATTGCAATTGGTGATAATAAGCTTGCCATGGATTGCACCCCCGCAATGAATCCCTGTGCTTTTCCCTGACATAGTGAAGAAAAACAGTGTAAGGAAATGAAGATATGGTTGAAGATGAATGGTTTTCAGAGTTAAAAAGCAAACCTGATCAGTTGAGCTTGATGCTTTGGAAATAATAGCATAAGTCTGAGTATAGAAAAAGTGATTATGGTAAAATGAATGATATTCATTGTTGAATACTGTTTTTTTGGAGTTGAAAAGGAGAAATCCAGAGAAATGTTACTTACTGAAGGTTTCACAAGTACATAAATGACCCCAAATGAGGCACTTAAATATGCAACCTGCATTTTCGACAACAGATATTTCCAAAACTATCAAGCTCCATGTTAAGTCTTGAAATTAGACAACAGAAACAGTGAGCATTTAGCTACATACCCAAGAAGCCCAGGCTAAGCCATAGAAAAGTCCCTGCAAATAAAAAGGCCATTCATGTTAAAATTATTATCACTTTTTTTTTTTTTTTTTTTTTTTGGTTCTTTTCTTGACGTTTTTTGAGGGAGACTTAGAAAAAGGCAACTTACATAAGCTATTGATGCCAGTAAGCCAAGGCACAATATCACTTTCTCTCCAACAAATGGATTGATTAAGGGGAGCACCAAAATCTGGATCCAGATCACAATAATGGATGAAGTTATGATCCTAAATTATTCTTCACCAACAAAATATGTTGGATCTCAAATGAATAAAGAAGATATGAAGACTGGGAATCAGCAGCATACCTGAGAAAAAATTGAACCTATTCCCACCACCAACAGGATTTCTGAAAACTGATTTTTATTGAACCCAAAAACTGCTTTTAGATAGTACTGCATATGTGAGTATGTA